TAAGCATAGGTTTTAAAAGATTAAATTTTTTCGGAAACAAGGAATTAATTAAAATAGAATCCGTTCAAAGTAGCTACCGAGGTAGAGAAAAACGGTTTTTGCCTTATTTTCACTCTCTATTTCTCACGCCCCCTCTCTCGCTCTCTCCATCTCTCGTTCTATCGCTCTCTTGCACTCTCGCACTCTCTCTCTTGCTCCCGATTTAACTCGCGCGCTATCCTCCTGTTTCCCTCGCACTCCCCCTCTTGCTCTCTTTCTCTCTCTCGCTCTCTTGCTCTCTCTACCTGAGAGATTTCCTGCCGACATTTATTCCTCTCAACGACGGGACAATACTTCATTTTGTGCTCCCCTACCGTACAAGCCTCAATTTTCGGTATCTTCACTCAAAAATCGGCATCAGTATTCATAAAATTACGGTATCTTAGACATAATCTCCCTCCCATAGTTGCCATCCCGCTTTCTTCCCCCCGGCTTTATCCCCGGATATCACCCCAAATTTCCGGCCCCTGGCCCACGCGCTGGGTCCCGCCACACGCAAATTATTGGACAAATATGCGGTCAAGCAGCCGCCGTGGGGGTTGATGGGGGAGGGGGGGCGGTGGCCTTCAAGTGGATAGAGGAGCCACTCGGAATGTGCCACTGCCCCCCCCCCTTGCCGACGATAGAAGATAGACCTTCACATTCTGCCAACCGGCACAGCTCTATCCCCCGGCCCTGTGCTTTTCCATTCCACCCTCAAATCCCGCTGCTCCTTCAACGTTGTTTATAGAGCCTCTCTCTCGCCTCTTGGCTTGGGTGGATTTAGCTGCCGATCTATCGAGCTCGATTGGCAACATTAAAGGGGCGGTGACAGCTAGCCCTAATTTCTGTTAAAAACCTGATCGATTTTGACAAGTTTTTGGCGATTTTTAGATAACTAAGTATTTTAACAATCAGATTTTCCTAAGACTGTTAGTAATTAAACAAAAAAAAACATTAAATTAGTTTCGTAAACCATTTCGAAAGCCCTAGATAGAGAACTGAAATTTATATTATTCCGCGCCGAAAACTCGCGCTTTAAATCGGTATTTGAAGTAACAAAAATTTTTTTTAATGTGTTGCTATACTTGCCTGACAAAAATTTGCGTTCTTTGAGCAAGTTTCCTAATCTAGGAAATTGTTTCCTGGCTTTTTTATTGAGATAAGAGTCTTTTTGATTTTATCGGCCCATGAAAGACGTCATTTCGGTCCCAGCTGCTCTCCCTAAAAATTAATTTTGGACTGATTTACGTTTCTTCGAATACCCCCGAATTCTAAAAAATGATTGCGTCGGTGTGAGAAAAAACTATAAAACAAATTCTCGTGCTTCATTTTTGTAAATTTGTTAAGCGCTGTATTCTCGAAACTTTTCGACGTATTACTGGATTTTGTTTTCACCCGACCGCCAAATCCGGCCTTGTCACAATGTGTTTGTGCAACTGCATTGTGCTGTGGAATTTTTCTGGCCGTCGGGACCATTCTATTCGACATAATCCATCCAAAATCGGTGGTTTTTTCGGGGTATTCTAGGCAATTTTCCAGCACAATGGAGCATAGCTTTTGGTCAGAAAGTTCCATTTCCAAACGGATACGCTAAAAAATTAGTTTTGGAATCGCACTTTTGCCACAATTGAGGAAACTTGAGATTTCGATGATGTCCTACGCTCTTAGCGCGACTCAAATTTAAATACGTACGTGCCAAACCGTTAAATTCCATCCCAAATTACCCATCGCCCCGGCAACTCCACCCAATCCATCATGGTCTCGCAAACGTTCGCCCCGGGGTGAGCGATTGTTGCCGGAGTGGGGAGGCTGAGTCTCCCCCTTCCGCTCTTGATCCTCCACCTGGCTTGACCTGGAAATTAGGCAACACGCTTTGCTCTAGCAAGATAAAGACACGGTCGCTTCATTGGATCTCTGGCATTTCCGTTTGAAAAGTTTGGCCCAAAAGCTATATTTTTGGCCTGTGCTTAGGCTTTAGCCTCGACTTGGGCTTGGGCTTACCTATGTTAGTAAGGAGTGCTTTTTTAGAGTAATCCTGGAAACGGTTGGAGAGATAGCTCATTCGATAGAGAATACTGCAGATACAGCTGGAAAAGGGGGTGTACCTAAGGTTTTGCGACGGAGTGTATCTCTCCAACCGTTTCCAGGATGACTCGAAAAAAGCACTCCTTATACGGTTAAGGAATGGGCTTAGGGAAGGCTTAGGCGTCTGCCTAGGCGTTTCCATCTCTCTTCTATCACTTCCCGTGGCTTCGGGGTTCTGAGCACGACGTCCAAAACTTGCCTGATATTTGCGTGTGCCCCCTTTTGTTCTACCCCCATTTACCACCCCAAAAAAGCCGCCGTCTATCCACGACGTTGTCGCCCCCCCATGTTGAAATGGGCGGAAAATGTAATCAAATGGGCGTTCAGAATTGGCGGGGCGACGCCCAGCAGGCGCCATTCGACCGGCCATGGCCTCCGATGCCACACTTTCCCATCGCAATTTTCCGGGGGCTCGCCCTGGCAGGCTGGCAGCAGGCCTTATGCAAAAAAGGCCGCATTTCGAACTGGTTTCGCGGCTCCGGCGGGAAGTCTAGGCCACTGCCCTCCCATCTGGAGGCTTTTGTTTGCATTTTATGTGCGTGTTGGCTTTGTGGGTGTGGCTAATTTGTGGTGGGTTTTCGGAGTGGGATTCCGATTGTTTCGCGTTGAGGGGGGAGGCTTAGGTTTCGTTTTTGGCTTGGGCTTAGGCTTAGGTTTAGGCTTTGTCTTCACCTTAAATTTGCTCGTACGCTTTTATAACTGTTATAGCTAATAAGCTGAATTGCCCTTCATTTCCGTGCTACACCTCTTTACAAACTTCCAGAAACGAATCCTCCCCTAGTCCTCTATTTGTTGCCCTATCAATTGCAGCTACCCGATTTTTTGCGGCTTTTCTTCCATCACCCGCAAGTCTCTCTCGCTCGCTCTCTATCTCTCTCTTTCTCTCGCTCTCACTCTCCCACCCGAACCCATCAACAAACAAACGAGCGAAAAGTCCGGGTAAAACATTGTCGGTAGCGGGGGGGGGGGGGGGTAAAACGGGAGCCGAGCGCCGATGCAGACTCCGCCCGATCTCTATTTACGCCGCTGAATGGACACCGCCAAAAAAGTGCGCCGGTCCGGCCATCGATCTTGAAACACGGTGGTTCGGATTTGACACGAATACCCTCATTTGTTTGTATATCTTCTCGAGTTGCGAGTGTTAAAGGGCCATACAAGTCGGGCATCGTCTAACGTGTCACATTTTATTCGTTGATTCCAAAAATCACTTGAAAGCGATCGCACCCGGAACCTTCAATTTACGGAGCAATATAAGTGGTTGAGGTTTTTAAAAATTTTAGGAAAGCCGAAAAGCGCAAAATCAGCATCTTGCTAAGCAGAATAAGCAGATTTTTTGGGGCCTTTAGATGCTTGCTTGATGTGCGTTTTTAACGTTAAATGCCAAAGACTACAAACTACAGACCAAACTTCATCATTTTGAAGCCATGATTTCCCGAACTCACTGCAAGCCCCATTTTACACGTGCCCTGATATCCTATTATTTGCTGCCTGTGGGTCCACTTCCCGGCCGTTTATCGCGTGTCTTCGCGAAAAATTGTTGACATTTCCGCTAGCACCCGAGCATTATTCACGCTCCTCCTCGAGTGACTCACCCCAGGGGGCAGCAATTTCTCAATTTGGAAAAATTGATCCAGTCACTCGAGCTAATTTTTGCGATTTGGTTCAAGGTCATTTTTTTTTGCGGGATGTCTGGATTTCAAAATTTGCCCCCGAAGTTTCAAGGGTCGTTTGTGTTGTCACAGCCGGCGTTTTATGTAGTTGCCCGTAGTCGTCGATACATAGATTTTAAAGCTAGTCGGAATACCTGAAATTTCTTGGCTTTTCTTGGATTGCTGGGCTGGTACCCAGATCAAATTTACACCCGTGAAATTTATACACGCGTGTAAATTTTACACGCGTGTGGGGATTCACACGCGTGTAAAAATATTTACACGCGTGTAATTTGGCAAATTTCCTTAACAAATTTATTAAGGAATCAAAAACACGCGTGTAAAAAAGTTTACACGAGTGTAAAATATTTACACCGTTAAAGTTTACACGCGTGTAAAAAACGGGTTTTTGCCGAAATGACGAAAAGCAAAATTTACACGCGAGCGGCCTAATTTACACTCCACTTTGAAGAGCTCGAGAAAATTGTAGAGCCACTTTTTGTAAACATGAAAACGAGAGGGGTAGCGACAGGCCCCAACTATTAGTGAAAAATTGTGGCTTGCTAGGTACCCTAGAAATTTTCTATGATCGTCTTTGGAGGTCGTTTTGACCGATTTACACTACTCTCCCAGGTGTAAACTTATGGGGTAAAATTTACACGCGAGCCCTATTTTGAGCCAATGATTTTTGCACTCCCAAATTTGATTTTTAATCAATCGACTAAACCTTAACTAAATATACTTCTCAAATCAACGGGATTTTTCTCGAACAGTCCGGATGCGAAAAATCAATCCCCTTGTATTTTCGCATAAGAGAATCGGATCGGAATAATTTTTACATCCTTCGCAAGCCTACGAAACGGCAAATTTTTCAGTGGCAACATCTTATTTTATGTATTCTTTCCTTCATATAGATGTTTTTACAAAAAATGGGGCTTGAATCCAAAATACACGAGTGTAAATATTTTTACACGCGTGTAAACGCATTTTCCGGCACCAAACCCTCTAAAGTGCAAATCACAAGTGTAATCCCAAAACACGCGTGTAAACTATTTACCGCGTGTAAATCCGAGGTAATATTTTACACGCGTGTAAATTTTGGGCTGTTTACACGCGTGTAAATGTCATCTGGGTACCAGCCTTGCTTTTTAATCATGTTTGAAAGCTTTTATATGCCGTAAATTTTGTTCTTCTATCGGATTATACTAGTGAAATCTTAATTACGATTTTTGTTGCAGTACCTGGATGTCCGACAGCGTGTTGGAGGTGCTCGAAATCGAGCTGGCCGACGGGCCCTCGCCCGTCTACCGAGGCGGCGAGGTGATCAAGGGAAAAATTCATATACGACTGCGGAAACAGATTACGGTATGTTTTAAATTTTTAAAACTTTGTACCTTTTGAACCCTCGCGAAAATGATCAAAAAGCCGTAAAAGCGGCATGATTTCTTGTACAACATCGATTTTTCAGGTGTTCGCCGTCCGGCTCCAGATCAAAGGCCGCGCCGCTTTCTTGAATGATTCCAAGAAGAAGGCCGATATCGAGAAGGTACTTTTTCGAGGCTGTAGATGCCCTGCTCTCGCTCTCTCTCTCTCTCTCTCTCTCCCTCTCTCCCTCTCTCTCCATCTTTCTCCCGCCTATAAACTCCTCGGTGGACTATCGAAAAATCTGTACGACGACAATTCGGAGCCCCCCACCCCAGAAATCCATTTGGCAAACAGCCAACAAACCGTTCGGACCGGGGGTGCAAAATTGAATACAGCGCCCTTTACAAAGGCTACCCCCACCAAATGCATAGCGTCCTGAATCACGGCCCGTACCCAAAGGGGCATGTTTTAGCGCAACACCGGGAAAGAGCAGGTGATGGAGTCCCGGGTTTGTGAGTCAGAGAAGAGAATTTTTCTGGCTCTTCGGGAGTAGTGAAATATAAGTGGATTGGGAAATATTCTGCGCATTCAGGGGATTAGTCTGGTTGCGAAATATCTGGGCCCTGGAATTGGTTAAGGCAAGGGAATTTCGCAAAACGAGTGATATCTTGAGCGTCACAGAGAGAGATAGAGACAACGAGAAAAAAGGAGAGAGAGAGAGAGAGAGAGAGAGAGAGAAAGCGAGAGAGGTAGAGCAAAAAATATGAACTCAACCAATATCATAACCCTTTTAAGGTATACTTCGACAACGACATGGCCCTCCTCGAGCGACCACCCGGAAAAGCTGACCCTCACCATTTTACCTGGATCGCCAACTACGACTACCACCTTCCGTTTGAGATGCCGTTGCCTAAAGGGTGCCCCACCAGCTTTGAGGGCCCTCACGGCTTCATCCGCTACTTCATCAAGGCGTCGTTGGTGGAGGAGGATGGAGCGCAAATGGTAGTTTAGCCGACGAGTAGCCTCATTTTTTCCTCGATCAATTAAACCGAGAGGATTAGACATACTTTTTTTAGCGCGAATACTTTGTGAAAAACGCCTTCACGATCGTCTCGCCTTCGGATGGCCATATCGTTCGCGGACAAGCCGCTCATGTTGCTGATCAGGCGACGTACGGAGGATGCTGCTGTAGGGGAAAGGTTGGTGGCTCTATTTAAAAACAAAAAAAATAAAGCCAATCAAAAACTAAGTTTATCTATTTTTTAGATCTCCGCCTCCCTCGATCTGAGCCGAACCGGATACCTCCCTGGCGAAGTTGTCTACGGACATTTGAAGCTGAACACAAAGAAGCCAAAGGAATTTTTGGGACAAGTTTGCCTTCAGTTTTTGACGCTAAACCATATAATCCTAGATGGAAGTTCGACTCGTCGATCGGGTGCTCCGAGTGGGAGGTGACGATCCGCATGCATCTCCTTATAGAACGTTGGATTATAGGTATCTTGTAGTGATAATCTTTAAAAATAGGTGTTCTTTAGAAAACTGGAAGAGCAAGTGGTACCAAAAGGCGCCAAAGGCTTTGAAGGAGATTTATATTTGATCACGATACCTCCGGTGCCGCCAACGACGAAAGGTACAGGTTTAGAATTAAGAGAATCAAGTTTACTTTGATTTTTAGGGGATTTCGATAACATTACCGAAGATATGAACAAATCCCCGACAAAAGGACTCTTCGAAAGCCCCTCCACCGCAACCTTGAGATTCCGAAAAATCCCCTTCTTGAGAGTTGAATATGCTATTCAGGTAAGCCTTTTCTTCCGTAGTTTTTAATCAACCGTTTAGGTGACTCTTGGCCACTCCATCCTTCTGGAGATTCCCATCGAGATCGGCGAGTTGAAGACGGCTGACGAGGCGACGATCCTGAGACCATTTATTGCTGGGCCGCAGCCAATCGGGGAGATTGATGAAGAGAATAAGGTAACGTATAATACTTTGTTCTATCTTGCAAATTTTGAACAGTATCATAAAATATCTATTAACTACATTTATTTCAACTGGCTTTGCTTTCTTAATAATCCCTGATAATTCCATCTTTTGTATTTTTATAAACTACAAGCCCATTCTTTGGTTTGGAGTTTTGGGGTTTTGCAGCCATTTTTTATCTACCCCCTACGAAAAAACAGCTTTTAGTCTGCTGCCTCGCTTCTGCAGACTTCAATTCTGGCCGTAATTCGACAATTTCAGATTCCCTTCAACGGCCCGTTCACCTACACCCCGGTCTACCCCTACACCGAAAAGTTCAGCAACGGTCATACCCAAGCGCCACAGCCCACGGTAAGTAATGTATAGCTTTTGGATGGATTTTGGAAATATATACCTTAAACTGGCACGCTAAACTACTAGTTAAGGCCCTCACAAAGCCTTTTTCAGACCCCAACCGTCCGAATCCAGGAGCCAATCCCGGAGGAGACACACCGGGAAACGCTGCGGGAGATGGAGGCCGAACCTGGAGCAACGACCACTGTAATCCAGGAGGTAGGAAAAGCAATCAATTCCGAAAATACCCCTTTTTCAGACCTCCCACCCCAATGAGAACACGGTCGTCCAAACGACGGTCGTGCGGACGGAATTGCCTGATGGCTCGAATAGAACGGCTACGGTAGGTGGAGCAAAACTTAGGAGGGCTGCGAGTTTTTGCAAGGCCTTGAACTAAATTGTTTTTTTTTCTTCAGCAAACCACCACTACCACCACGTTGGCCCATGAACCCCAAGTATTGCATGAGGTATCGGCGAGTCCGGAACCAGCGGAAGCAGTCAAGAGAGCGTCTATCGTACGCCAATCCTCGCCAACCCCAATCCCATCAATTATCGAGACGCCACCAGATTTGCCGCACCGTGAATCTCCTGAACCTCCCGTTGACGTCGAGAGAACTGTAGGTTTTGATAAGAGATAGCGAGAGATAGCGAGAGAGAGAGAGAGAGAGAGCGTGAGAGAGAGAGGGGAGAGAGATGGAGCGAGAGAGCTAGATAGATATGGAAAGAAACCACGAGTTTCGCTAAATATTAATGGTTCAGGTAGAAACCACCGAAGATGATGAGGGAGCCACCACCACGACCACCACTGAAACGTTCACAGAAGATGGAGTGACTACGGTAGTTTTTCCAGAACCTTCCTGTTTACAGGTACCCTTAGGTCCGGACCACGACCGTAACCCGGAATCCCGATGGCAGCGAAACTACGCATGTAAGAGAAGAGACGACGCAAGAACGGGAGATTACTTCTAGTGAGCGCGAGGTGGGTGTTAGAGTGAATATTGGAGTTAGGCTGAGGCTCCACTATGCTCAGGCTTCGGCCCTTGCTAACCTTAGGTAATAGGGCTTTCCGCATTTTTAATATAGATTTAGCTCTTAAAAACTTCTGTTTAGATCCCCACCCCTGAAGAATTTGCTCACAACATTGAAGCGCAAGAGGGAGATGAGAGCTATACGCAGACCGAGACTTTTGAGGAGGACGGCGTTACGGTGGTAAGTTTTCACGAATCTTATTGGTTTTATTCTGATAAATGCCAGTTTCTAAAGCAAAACGTTGACTTTTTAGCTACGCACAACTACGGTAATCAAGCACGCCGACGGATCGGAAACTCGCAAAATTCACGAAGAATCCCATACCCCCATCGGTGGTGACGGCGGAGATGAGGATGAATAAAATTCGATTCTAGGCTTAGTTTCTTAAAAAGAATTTATCCATATCCTCTTGATGGCAACTCTAATTTTTTATTTCTTGCAAATCCAAATATTTCCCAGCCCAAAGTCTTGCACTGCCAAAATATTGTTTATATCTTATTTTTTTAGCTTTTTTCTCTATTCCTCTCGCTCTCTCCTCTCTCTCTCTCTCTCTCTCTCTCTCTCTCGCTTTTTCTCGCTGTTCTCTCCAAATCTCTAGCTTTCTCCCACGCCTCCAATTACCATTGCAACTTGTGATATTCTATTCATGAAATTGTATTAGATCAATTTTACATCAATTTTACGTCAATTTTACGAAATTTTTGATCCCCCTTTGCTGCTGTCTTTTCTATCCCGATTTGTTGAAGCTTTATCATTTTAATACAAGAGAAAGCGAAGACAAACCCCGGAATCCGAATTTTCGATTTCTGAATCCGCCCCAATTTTCTTGCTTTGGCGTATTTATGAAAAAAATGGCATAAATGATTTTACGACTTATGACACGTATAAACCCAAGAATCACGCAAAAAAAGAATACCACAAAATATTCAGAACGGTACGAAATACGTACTTTCCACTAATTTTAACTAATTGCAGACCTATTGGCACTTTTTTGAAGCTGCATCAGTTTTTTGAATAGAAAAAAACCAAAAGCTCTTCCCCCAATTTTTGCTTTTTATTATTTATGAGACGTAAATGAGTATTTATCCGTCGTTAACACATTGCAATGCATCATAATCAAATATAATTAGCAGATTTTTTGCATACAAATCGCGTGAATGCGGATGTTGAGTCCCAAGGGTTCCATCGGGATTCGAAATCGGTTGCATATTGCGTGTCGTTCCCCATCTGAATTTAAACATGGTGTAGAGCTTGTGAAGGGCGAGAGAGCGGGAGAGAGAAAGAAAGAGAAAGAGAGAAAGAGAGAGAGCGTGAGAGAGAGAGAGTGACAGAAAGAGACTTGTTCCCCTTGCCCTGTTGTCATACCGTATAAGTTTCGCTGCACGTTCCGTTTGTTAGATCAAAATTGAAGGAGCTGTCATCGGTCCATGTCAGCGTGGTCGAATTACTGCACGAAGCGCCAAGAATAACCTGCCAGTCATCGCAAATCATGCCATTCTGATTCGTAGCAATTAGTTCTGAAGTGAAGAAAACTCGTAAAAACGCTCAGATGCCTTAAAAAGGTTACCGCTTCAGCGCGCTCTCACTCTCTCACGCATTCTCTCTTTCCATCATTCGCCGCTTTCTCTCTCTCTCTCTCTCTCTCTCTCTCTCTCTCTCTCTCTCTCTCTCTCTCTCTCTCTCCCGTTCTTAATCCCTTTTACCTATTTAACGGAATTGCTATGATAATATTTAACGCCGCAATTTCATAATGCGGAAGGTCATAATATTGCATTTTTGCACCTTACGCAGAGGTCTTTGCGCTAGACTTGTTTATGAAAATTTCGACACTCTAATGACGACATCAAGAAATTTGCACCTTTTGAAAGTAACCTAGCAGATCGATATTATCGAATTATACCTCGAATGAAGGTGTCCTCATCCTCGTCATGAATCGAGACGAGATGAGCGCCCATGGTTTGGCAGAGCGATTCGGCCTGCTCCTGCGTATATCTGACCACCGGGTCCGCTGGGATCTGGTTCTCAATTTTAAAAGCATTATAATACAAATTCTATGGTTAAAACTATAGTTTTATTTAGCGAACACATTTTTCTACCTGTGCATAGTAGCATGCATCTGTATCGTTGTTGTGCACCCAACCGCGCGGGCAGTCTGAAACATTTTTCTAGCCTATTTTCGAGGCAGGCGATGCTGGACTGGTTGCGGTGGGATATGTTACTTATCGTTTTGCAGCCGATTCATAGCTGTTAAAAAGATATCTTGCCTTTTCATAGCGTTTTGAATAGCTTTTGATAGCTAGAAGGCAGTTAAAAAATTACAAAGTTTTAGAATGTCTATGTTATATATGGGTCGGGGCCTGCGGGCGCCGCCAAATGCCCCTCTCGAGGAGCCTTTTGGGGGCGTCTTGGGTGGGGCCGGCGGGCGCCGTGGGTGGGGCATTTTTCCGGTATGCTGCGATGCAAATTGCGAAAAAACGCTTTTCAGATGACTTTTTGCAATTTACATCGCTGCATACCGGAAAAATGCCCCACCCACGGCGCCCGCCGACCCCACCCAAGACGCCCCCAAAAGGCTCCTCGAGAGGGGCATTTGGCGGCGCCCCCAGGCCCCGACCCATATATAGTCTATGTTCTTGTAAATTTGAAAACCTTGTGAAAGGATACAAAGAATTGTTGGGATCTCGTTATCGCCCGTACCCGACCCAAAGAAAAATTGTTCTCCCCCTTAACCACCCCCTCCCCCCGTAAACAACCGAGTACCGCAAAATCATGGTAATGGTGTTCGGACATACACTGGCTGACGACCGGCTGGCGAAGGGCGATGTGTGAATCCCATGCTTCCTTGCTTGCCTGGCCGATGCTCTTTGAATTGAGCATGACGTAGTTGTAGAGACACGCCCAGTTGTCCCCACAATTGGCTACCACCTCCGAGGAATTGTCTGGGCAAACGGATACTCCGTAATCATGAAGGAGTGAGCGTAGTTGGTATTGCAGATGGGCTAAACCAGTACAGGGTGTCCCAAAAAATACCCCCCTCTAGCGGTCCGCAGTGATGACCGACTTTTACGATTTAGGTATCTAACGAAAGCTCTCGACGAGCTGAGGCGATCTGTTCTTCCCTATTTTTGAAATTTTGGAATTGTCATTGCATTTACTAGCATTTTTGCGAAATCTGCTGAATTTTCGAGGCTTTTTCCCATGCAAGCTTTTTTTAATAAAAACCCTTATTTTGCAATTTTTTACATCTTTCCTGTCAGCCCAACGTCAGTGTTTTTTAAGAGGCATTTGAGCAAACAGAGCTTGGATGAGGTTGAAGCCGATTAAATTGAGTCTTTGTACAGAATTGCGTAATTTAGGCCCAAAACGATGAAAATCGGGTCATAAATTTCGGAATTTCACAAATCGGTAAGAACATATCTCCTCAATTTGTCGAAAGCTCTCGATAGATACCTAAATCGTAAAAATCGGACATCATTGCGGACCGCTGGAGCGGGGTCTTTTTTTTTGGGGGCACTCGGTATTCTCTAAAAGTGTCAAGCCTGCAACATAAAAATAATTATTCCTAGAAGGCGTAAAATTTAAATGTGAGTACCCACAATTAGTGTCCAGCTCCATGTCTCGGCACTGGTTTAGAATTAGAAGCAGTGCTGTCCCGGAGGTCGGGTAGAAGCGGTTATTGCCACTGAAAGGTGAGGTGTGAATTGATTGTAATTCTCGAGTGGCATACTACGTGAACCTGTCGGCCGCTCTATAGATTGGATGCATCATCATCATTGCCTCGGGGAAGACCTGGGAATCCTCATTTATGTAATTTAATTTCCAGGAACGAGAACGAGAGAGATAGAGAGCCAGAGCTGGAGATGTGAGCACACAAACCTGGAATTTATGATTAACTCCGCCGTCCGGCATAAATAAATTTTCCGATGGGATCACCGAGCTGTACGCCATATCGGGGTCTAGGCCGACGCCGGGCTCCCCGCTGCCGGGAATCCTATCTGAACTTTTGATATTCATGAAGGCCACTGGATCGTAGCAGACAATTTCGGATCAGATGCTGCCAGTACTGCCTGGAATTGACGTCTTCGGTCTGGAGGTCTTCATGAATTTGGCTGCCCATCGTGTTGTTAGGGAACGGGCGCATCAGACCGGCCATCTGAGAGAGTGAAGGTTCGGGGGAGTGGGTTAAAAATCGGAGAGAGAGAGAGAGAGAGAGAGAGAGAGAGAGAGAGAGAGGGAAACGGCTTCTTTTAGAGAGCGAAAGAACAACGAACTTTTGACAAATTTGTCTGCTGGAACCCGTCCTCGCGTGCGTTGTCCACGTCCGGTTTCTGAAATCCGCGATTCTGCGATTCCGGGAAACTACTCTTACGGCGACGTACTGTGGTGGAACCGAAAGGGCGATATCTAACAACCCGAGGCTCTCCTGGAGATCTCGTAGACGATCGAATTTCATGTTGAATGACTCGCTAAAGCCGATTGCTCCAAACATTTCCACAAACTACCGTATCCGGATGCCAATCTGGGCCTGCTCGAGAACGACGTAGATCTCGGCCTGACCTTGGCTTGTCTTGTTGACGTAGATGAGCACGCCTAAGATGTGGATTTGAGGCGCTTATTACGCTAAAATACGGAATTGTGCGCGATAGATTTCGCATTCGCTCTAAAACAAACCCTTGAATCGCAGGATGGCCATCGTGTCAAAGTAGCGCATGACATTGCCAACGATGACGCTGGTGCGGTAGCGGAAACGGCGGGTGTCTTTTCGGCAAAGGACGTGGACGCTGCAAGCCAAGCCTATTAAGCGCATTTAACCACCAACCGTTCACTGTCGGTGGCCTCAATAGCAATGCCTGTGATTACGGTGGCTTTCGATGGTTGCACAAGATCTGCGTGACCTAACCTTCGCCCAAGTTGCGCTAAAAACACGGAATTTTATAAGATGGTTGAACTCACTGAAGTCGACCCTCCGATTCGGGAACCTTTCGAGCCGGGCCTGGATCCTCACCTCCGGCGTCGTCGAGGCCTTCGGGATGTAGAGCAGGGTAAACACGCCCGGTTCGTTGAATACAAACTTGTCGTTGTCGATGGTGTTGAAGACCCCGGCACCGATTGCCTCGCCTACAGCGGGTGTTTGTTATTTTGACGATGTGTTGCGGGTACCGTATGACGCCTCCCTATAACCTCGGCATTCACTGGACGGACGTCGTTCGAAGAACTTGTGGCATCGAAAATCAGCAAGCTTGCAGCACAGGAAATTCGGCATGTAGTCGTCGTTCAAAGCGGAAAGGCCCGGGAACGAATTGTGGCGAACTTCCGATGTCCCCTGAAGGTTCAAGGAATCGTTCAGGGAACTGTAGA